CTAACACTGAATGCTAATGTCTTTTCTTCTTGCAGTGATGCCAAGAATATTGTATGACACAGAATGCTAACGTCTTTTCTTCTTAAAGTGATGACAAGAATATTGTATGACACTGAAGGCTAACATCTTTTCTTCTTGCAGTGAAGACAAGTTATTGTATGACACTGAAGGCTGATGTCTTTTGTTCTTGCAGTGATGCCAATAATTTTGTATGACCGTGAAGGCTGATGTCTTTTCTTCTTGCAGTGATGCTAGAAATATCGTCTGACACTGAATGCTAACGTCTTTTCTTCTTGCAGTGATGACAAGAATATTGCATGACACTGATGGCTGTTGTCTTTTTTGTTGCAGTGATGCCAAGAATGTTGTATGGCACTGAAAGCTAACGTCGTTTCTTCTTGCAGTGATGCCAAGAATATTGTATGACACTGAATGCTAATGTCTTTTCTTCTTGCAGTGATGCCAAGTTTATTGTATGACACTGAATGCTAAGAAATTTTCTTTTTGCAGTGATGACAAGAATATTGTATGATACTGAATGCTATCATCTTTTTTTCTTGCAGTGATGACAAGAATATTGTATGACACTGAAGGCTGATGTCTTGTCTTCTTGCAGTGATGACATGAACATTGTATGACACTGAAGGCTGATGTCTTGTCTTCTTGCAGTGATGACAAGAATATTGTATGACACTGAAGGCTGATGTCTTGTCTTCTTGCAGTGATGATAAGAATATTGTATGACACTGAAGGCTGATGTCTTTTCTTCTTGTAGTGATGATAAGAATATTGTATGACACTGATGGCTGATGTCTTGTCTTCTTGCAGTGATGACAAGAATATTGTATGACACTGAATGCTATCGTCTTTTCCTCTTGTAGTGATGCCAAGAATATTGTATGACACTGTAGGCATACGTCTTTTCTTCTTGCAGTGATTACAGGAATAATCTCCTCTTCATCTTCCGTCTGTTTTTTTCGTTTTTACGATGAAGACATTCTGGAACCCAATCCACTTTCTCCTGACAGATGTATCTAATATCATATCATTTATCTCAAATGAGTAGTCGTTCGGCTTCTCTGACGTATATTCTATTATGACGCTCCTCAAAGCTTTGAACATGATGGTTATTTAGGTTGATTCCTCCATCTGAACTGTTTGAGAGCACAAAGATTTCACTCTAAGAAACTAGTTCTCTCTTATATATATATATATATATATATATATATATATATATATATATATATATATATATATATATATATATATATATATATATATATATATATCATTGCGAGAAAAAAATAGGCAATCGAAATATTCTGCAATCAAATTGAGCGATCGCACGATTTAAGTGAGAAAGAAGAAGAAATCAAGAGGCACCCACGTTATATGTAGTTTTACCTCCAGCTAAATTCAATCAGTAGAAGTCGAAAATTATTACCACATTCTAGAGACGCAAAAACACACCTCCAGAAACTTTAGAACCATGGTAACATCGACACCTGAAATTTAAAAAGTTTAATTGCCACCCAAAAAAGTAGATTTCATCAACAATTTCAGGGATTCCTTGTTTTTGACACCGAAGCAACGATACTGTGCCAAAGAGGACGATCTTTCTACACTTTCCTTTCATCGCGAGTTAGAAATCGCCCTTGTCGCTCCAGTGCTACACCCAGGCAGAATTTACTCCGTCCAAAGTCAATGGACAAAGTTCAAAATGTTCAGCAATCCAACAATCAATGTCACATTATCAATAGAAGACCCACAGATTAAATGAGCCACGTTTTCCCTTCAAAAAGATCGGACGTAGGAAGGTGTTATTGGGGGACAACATCCGTAGCACCAAACACAACATTCTTCAAAATTAATAACTCGCATTACCAGATGTATGTAGCCTGAACCAATGTTGTGTGACAAGCATATTCTGACAAGGAAGCAATTAAAAAATGGAAAAAGGGATTTGGAGAATATTTGAAAATCGGAGAGTCAAAGAAAGAAAATAAGCAGAGCTCATATACCAGAGCATATTGTGAGAAATGTAACATTGACCTATCAGTCGTGAACAACAGAGAGAGAGAGAGAGAGAGAGAGAGAGAGAGAGAGAGAGAGAGAGAGAGAGAGAGAGAGAGAGAGAGAGAGAGAGAGAGAGTTGTCGTTGTTGTTTAGTGTCTTAACCCAGCCTTTTTGAAGGAAAAGAGCAAATTTATTACTCTTCTTGCCAGCACACCTTTCTCAATCCTACCTGCTACGAACAACAGCGCAAGACGCAAGATCAAAAATATAAAAAATTCTTGTCAATTATTGCAATCGTCATATGCTTCTTGATATATCATGCATACCAATAACATCAAGTCTCACTTTTCCTAATGAGAAGAAATGATGCCATCCTTGTCGCCAAATCGTGCGACTTTGAACGTGAATCTTATATATAAAGATACAAAAAGCAAATGGAAGAACATTGAATACCAAAGCTATCAGTTGCAAATGGATGTCATCGAGATAATATTTTGGGTGTTGGGGGAATAGTTTGATCTTGTTTGCGATATATATTTTTGTGTGAGGGATGCTTCCTTTACCTCCGAACTTCGGGTATATAATGTCTGGCATTTATTAGTTGTACCAGCTCTAGATATTTGCATCAGCGCTCTCAAACGTACCTCCATGAAAACAAATTTAAGATCATATTTGGAGAATTTCCCCGTAGGCTTCGAAGAGAAACGAGGAAAAGTTCTATCAAAGACCAACATCGCATCCTGCTAGAATTGTCAATGATAAACAAAACAAGCCTTTAGACATAAACTGGTCTCTAATGGTTCAAGCGGCAAAAGAATCCATGAACTATAACGACAATTTTCAACTACACCCTCAGAACAGAAATAATTCGTCAAGCAGATAAAATCGGTTAAAGGAAGCGAGTATCTTGCTTATAACTCCTGAAGTGCAAAGTAGAATTTGTGTTCCATGTCATATAAGTATTTTTGAAAATGACAGTGCCGATAAAGAAGCAAAAAGAAGACTAAATGAACCAAGAACACTATATATTATATATTCCCAAGGAACTATCGTCATAACAAACAAAATTAACCATAAATAACAAACGGAATGAAACAACAGAAAACGGGGAGATATCTGCACTCTTATCCAAAAGGATGCTAGCAGACATTACAGCCCCAAGCCTGCCCAATCCAAAATGGCATTAAAAAACAGACAAAAAGTGAAAAAACTCTCCAAGCGAGTATATTTAGAATTTTGTAGCAACAATAATGCAAAAGGAATTTATTATCCATATTGCCCAAATTTTGAAACTGTAGAACTCGTGATTATTGAATGTCATTAATACTCAATGAAGAGTGATTATTGAATATCATTAATACTCAATGCAGAGTGATTATTGAATGTCATTAATACTCAATGCAGAGTGATTATTGAATATCATTAATACTCAATGCAGAATGATTATTGTATATCATTAATACTCAATGCAGATATCATAGTGTAAGGATAAATTGGTTAAACTATAAAACTTGTGATTATTGAATGTCATTATTACTCAATGCAGAGTGATTATTGAATGTCATTAATACCCAATGCAGAGTGATTATTGAATGTCATTAATACCCAATGCAGAGTGATTATTGAATGTCATTAATACCCAATGCAGAGTGATTATTGAATGTCATTAATACCCAATGCAGAGTGATTATTGAATGTCATTAATACTCAATGCAGAGTGATTATTGAATATCATTAATACTCAATGCAGAGTGATTATTGAATATCATTAATACTCAATGCAGAGTGATTATTGAATATCATTAATACTCAATGCAGAGTGATTATTGAATGTCATTAATACCCAATGCAGAGTGATTATTGAATGTCATTAATACTCAATGCAGAGTGATTATTGAATGTCATTAATACTCAATGCAGAGTGATTATTGAATGTCATTAATACTCAATGCAGAGTGATTATTGAATGTCATTAATACTCAATGCAGAGTGATTATTGAATGTCATTAATACTCAATGCAGAGTGATTATTGAATGTCATTAATACTCAATGCAGAGTGATTATTGAATGTCATTAATACCCAATGCAGAGTGATTATTGAATGTCATTATTACTCAATGCAGAGTGATTATTGAATGTCATTAATACCCAATGCAGAGTGATTATTGAATGTCATTAATAATAAATGCAGAGTGGTTATTGAATATCATTAATACTCAATGCAGAATGATTATTGAATGTCATTAATACTCAATGTAGATATCATAGTGTAAGGATAAATTGGTTAAACTATAAAACTGGTGATTATCGAATGTCATTTATATTCAATGCATAGTGATTATTGAATGTCATTAATACTCAATGCAGAGTGATTATTGAATGTCATTAATACTCAATGCAGATATCATAGTGTAGTGATAAATTGGTTAAACTCACAAACCAAAACACTTATTGCAAAAGAGTAAAGCTATATAATTAAGATATAACAAATATTTTCTAAACGTAACAAGCTAGACTTCAGATATAATGAGAAAAGGAAATGTTTAACCTGCGGATAAAATTTTAATCTAAATCACCATAGTATTTATATATTTAGAAAGAAACATTACACGAATTGAGTATCACCACTCAATATAAAATGTATAAATACAAAAAACATTAATTTTAAGCCCAGTGACCTAGGCGTGTAGCCAAAGGGGACCATTCTGCCTGAGAATGGAACAAAGTGTGCGATGGCTTATGTACCTAGTTTGGCCAAGGCGTATCAAACCCAACTTTGACTGATGAAGAATTCCTTGCCCCGTTTAAGTCGGGCAAAGGGTTTAATATTAACCCTACAAAATAAATTAAAATAGGACAGACGTACTATAACTTTATTCTGCCATAATTTAAAAGTAAGATAAAATAGGTGATGTAGAAACAATTTTAAAATTTATAAAATCCAATGATTAATCATCTTCAGACATATTAAGTAGACCACTCCGGTTGTTTAAGTGGTTAGATCGTTCGCCTCGGAAGCGGGAGGGCGCCTGTTCAAACCCGGCTAAATAATACCAAAGACTAATAAAAATGATATTAGCAGCTGCCTTGCTAGGTACTCAGCATTATGACGTTAGTGGTAGGTCTGGTTGGCTTGTGTCAGGGAAATGGGGAATCATGATATATGATTGTGGCATGACACTCACGTATTAAACATCACTCTAAACTGTCACACTACAGACATCGTAGCGATTTGACCGAAAAATTGTTATAGCAACGTTAACAATCAAAATATTACACACACACACACATATATATATATATATATATATATATATATATATATATATATATATATATATATATATATATATATATATATATATATATAATCATAAATCATGTTGATACATACATATATATATATATATATATATATATATATATATATATATATATATATATATATATATATATATATATATATATATATATATATATATATATATGTTGTTCAACAAAATAGACAAGCAATTGTAACCTTGCTGAGTACCCCCATCTTACACATATAACACAAGATAAGTACATTTCATTTGCATGTCAAGTACCTTATAAGAAGACTTCCCCCTTGCTGAACTGATCATATTTTGTGTGATAGAAAATTCAAAGTGGTGATGTCGTTTTTTATTTTTCTTACCCTTTTACTGACTGGATTATCAGGTATGTATCACTGTTGGTACATTATGATGCTTTTAAAGACTGATTATGTTCATTGACATCAATTAGTACAGCAGCTACAAAGTGTGTCCACAATAAAATTGAAGTCAAGAAAGGGATCTTTTTGTTGTATAGCGTCAGTCTCATCCGGATCTTGTTTTTCATTATCGTCATCATAAACATCAGTAATATTAGTAATTGTAGTAGCTTTAGTAGAAACTGTATATGTGAAATAATTTCTGACTGGCTTATTGTGAGCACGCGCTTTTGTCGATGCTTTGCCTGTCTGTAGCGTATTTACATAATGTATATTCCTCATAATGTGTGTGTGTGTGTGTGTGTATATATATATATATATATATATATATATATATATATATATATATATATATATATATATATATATATATATATATGTGTGTGTGTGTATCAACATGATTATTGATTATATATATATATATATATATATATATATATATATATATATATATATATATATATATATATATATATATATATATATATATCAACATGATTATTGGGTCATTCGCATAGTGCAATCTACATATTCGAGACATTTACTATCGCGTTACTTACCTGGTGTAATGTATTAATTAGAAACCTCTAATACTGCATTATTTATAATTTTGTCTTGTGCAAAGCTAATTTGTGTTCTTTACTGAAAACCAGTTTTTAATAATAAAGAACTGGTGTTTGCATAACTTTTGTTGCATTTCTGACGTGTTTCTGTGAATAAAAATCATTCTACTGACTCCATTTAAAACTCGTGAAACGACAAATGCAGATCTGACAACATAATACCATAAAGAAGGCAAACATATAAATAATTGTCTAAATTTAATATTTTTATCATTAGCAAACACAATTTTCATTAATTACTGTTCTTATGAGATGACACTATCCTCCTTACTGACCAAAACTGACTTCTACTGATTGTCCTATGAGATGCTATTGCCATTATTTACACAAATTGACCTGCGCTGACTATCGTTAACAATACGATGTTTTTCCTAGGCAATCATATTGTCCCTATTATTGGCCCAAACTGACCTACGCTGACTACCGCTAACAAAATGACACGTTTCCTAGGAGACCACACCAAGCACACTGCTATATTAAATGCAGACCTGTACAGTACATCTGTACATATAAATGTTAAAGGGGTATATTACCATTTTAGCTGCAGTAAATAGCATGTTAAACTATTTTATGTGTTATAGCTTCATCAGAAGTTTACCCTGTTACATTAAAATTGTCAAACTGTGTTTTAAAATTGTGTTAGTGTCCATGTAATAGATGCCAAATTGTCTGGTACTTTATATCGGTAACGGAAACACTTATAAATATGTATACACAAATTTACCTCAAATGTAACACTTAAATCAAAACAAATCGTTATATCTTATAATAGAGCATTGCATAAAAATTTAATCATGAAATTTTAGATCTCAAAAGCTGACAAACTATAACCGTCTTTAGTCGTGGAGAATTTTATCTGTTTGTACTTAACAGTGAAATGCACGAAGACGATCATCACTGTAATTTAGAAACACATCTTCCATGACATATCCATTTAGATCGTTCAGATTCGGACTTAACGAGGTTTAATCTATTCATCCATCCTTTCATCCATTCTAAAATAGAACTGGATTACGTATTGACGAAAATAGGATTGAACCTGGTAAATGGTATTTATTGTTTTGTACCTATATATTAATTTTGAAATTTCTTTAGACTAAGCAGAGCGACCACTCTTCCATTAATTTATATTAACGCTGTCATGAATGTTTGTCTGCACGTTTCCAATAAATACGTATTGTTTATCCTAAGGATGTGTGACTTATAAATCTCTAGACATGCCTTCTCGTAAGTAAATCTCCAACTTGACTGAATTAAGGTCGTCAAAATCGGCGATCTAACTGCGGGTACTGGGCATAACTTGCCATCAAGAACTAATAGCAAGATTCCGAGGTCGATGATCACCATTTCAAAGGTTCCTTTAGTGTATCGGATGCTACCATTTTGAATTTCCTGCATCGATGTTATAATTGAAAATTCCTGGCTTCGTTTAAAACCTCAATAAAGAATAATCTCCACTAACGAAATAGAAAAAGACAATAAAGCGCCACAGTCCACAACTGTATAATTATATCCAGAGATAATCCGCGCGTGTTTAATTGTATGTATGTATGTCAGATGACGCGCCGAAATGTACATACCTATGCGCGAGCTTATGGGAGTGTACATGAGTGTTAGATTATGTTATAATATGACAAGTTCACTATTTATGGAATATTGGTTTTAGCGACCACGTGTTATCCTAGTTCAGTTATTATTATTATTATTATTATTATTATTATTATTATTATTATTATTATTATTATTATTATTATTATTATACATGAAATAATGCTAAGCCTGTCTGATAAACAAATTAATCTTTCTTTGCATATTTCAACTATTATTTTGTCTAGGTTCCACTCCCATCATTTCCTTAAACGGCCAGTCACCGGCTATTTATGGAAACAGTCTTACACTGATGTGTCAGGCTGACCAGGACGTGGGATTGGGATACGTGCTGTTTAGAAGAGATGGTGTTAGTATCATACGGATTACAGACACGTGTGCCTTTTCGAAAGAGAGCTCATCGGACACAAACGTGTACAGCGTTGTTTGTAATCTGCCACAAAGGATATTCACGATGGTGAAACATAACGTTACCTACAATGATCATAAGACGACCTGGACCTGTCAGATGTATTCGTCTAGCGGAACAAATGGAACTTGCGTTGGGACAGCAAACTCTTGCAGTTCAACTTCAATTATAATTACCATAGAGGGTAAGTATCCACTGGAATATAGATCACGATCGTATCACTATTCAAAGGGCAATGTAGAAGTAGCATGCATGCAGGCAGGCAGGCACGCACGCACGCACGCACGCATGTAATGTATGTATGTATGTATGTATGTATGTATGTATGTATGTATGTATGTATGTATGTATGTATGTATGTATGTATGTATGTATGTATGTATGTATGTATGTATGTGATTTTGGATTTTAACGTAGCGTTAACAATATTTCAGTCATATCACTACGATGTCTGCGTTGTGGTTTTTATATTGATGCCAGGAATTGCTGCATCATGCAGTAGACATGTAGCATGGTGTCCTATGCAATCATATTATCCTGACACCAGGCAATGCTGTAGCAGCAGAGGCTATCAACAGAGTACTTGGTTAGGAGAATATTTTTTGCACAAATAAAGGTTCCTACAAAAATGGAATGCAAGGTCAAAAAAGTCAAACCTAAAGCTTCTAACCCACCGAGATATTACTAATCGGGTTAGTACTCTTTTGTTAATTTGTTTTTGATTATTGTTTCATATTTTTTGCGTGTTCACTTGCACGCCGCCCACTAACTGTTGGTCGTCACCCTCTGCTGGTTTGTAATTGCCTCTCTGCTGCTTTGTAATTAAATTATTTATTATATCAATAATGGAATCATACACAGCTAGACAAGCTCGTGAACGACTAGAGGCAATTAAGAAATATATCCCCGTTGGTGATTTTGTCAAAAGCAAAATTGCAAGCGCGTCAATAAACAGAAGAAAAACTTTTCAGAAAAACAGAACAGGTATTTGAACCAATTACAAGGGCTGCAAAAAGTCTTCTTTTTCGTTAGAGCAGACTGCTAAATAAATCTGGCAAAATAGCAGAAAGAACCAAGAAATCAGTAAATAATTTTACAAGAACTTCATGCTAAGATATCTGCTGCTTACTCTAAACAAGAAATGCCTGAGGATACAGACGATGCTGAGGGTGATACACCAAAACCAGAATCAGAAGAAAGATTCCAAATTAATCTGGTCGAAGGGATCCAATCATGCCGTTGTGCTTATAAGAAAGACTGCTGACAATGATGCAAAATGGCGATTTGCCGGTGATGCAGACAAATCGTTCACTGTGGATGCCAAAAATAGTACCATCACTCGTTGAAGAACAAGGGCAGCTCTCTTTCAAGGATTCGGGTGGTATATCAACACTATCATGGCTGACAATCACCATATAGAGTGTTTAAAGTAACGTTAATGGTTTGTTTACGTGGCAGATAGCATCGCAGGAAGGTGTCTCTGTGCCGCGACATATATTGTTTGCTTTTATTATCCTTGCACGAGGAAACTTAATCGAACGAAGTACAGTAATATTTGACCAGCCTGGGGTTAGCGAAGTTTCGTTGTGAATAAACGAACATTAAGAACCCTCCGAAGAAATATTATTGAACTTTGAAAATAATCATGATGCACGTGTGTGCCATAATTTGTTGAAATTCATG